CAAACGATATATGAATCATTGATATTTCTTCGTCGAACGCCCGATGAGTTTACTTTATAATTAAACCCAGACGATTGTGAAACACTTGCGCAAACAGTCTGAATTTTCCCAGTGAAATAGACCGTGAACTCCTTCGTTCCTCAAAGTTTAATTTACCGGAATGATTGGCATTTAACTTTATCCGCGCATCGAACGATAATAAATCTAAGACGAACGTGCTAAATGATTAAACCGACGCGGATGATTTATCGTCTTTTTCGCGATTTTGTACAATGGGCGAGTTAAAAGTGAGTCAAGTCATAGCAAACGAACGCGAATAACAAGGACAATGGCCACGATTGAACGTCGCCAGGAAAGTAACGTGGGAAGAGAAAGGAATAAATTGTACATTGAACTATGTAATCGAACGCGATACGTTTTCAATATCGTTCGAGTGCATCCTGTCGCCTTGGAGATGATTCGTCTGACACATTGGTCAATAAACGATGGACCTTTGCATCTGAAAATAGTTTCAACAGTTTGAAAAAATTTGATCATCCTCTTCTCTTAATTTTACAGAAAGCAATCGAGGTGGTATTAAATTTTGTTTACAATTCAAAGGATACATGTACATTTAGAATAGAATATTGGAATTAGTTAGAGATTAATTGAGTGCTAGAATATTATATAGAAACTAGGATGAGGTCATTGGAGTAAATAAAAAAAAGATATAATGTCAGAATGTGTAACAGAGAAACAATGTGAAACTTAAAATTTCATCACATACGTAACGAGAGCAAATATTTAGTCAAAGAATCTTCCATAATTTTTCACTCTACGTTGGAAATAAATTGTTACGCGAAATTTTGGAATTTTAGATTCTAATGAAGATTTTAAATTATCGTATTACCAACAAACCTCCTTGCAAATGGTGACTTTTTTTTATATACATGTCTGTTATAAATAGCAATAATTTCCAGTAGAAATGAAAGAATATTTCACTTTGATTTCCTAGCTTCCTTATATCTTTAATATTATTTAAATTCCTATTTGTTATTAATATTTTTTAAATTCCTAAAATTTTTAAATCCCCAAAATTGGACAAAATTTAAATTATAACTTGGTATAGAATATCTGAAAGGTGTTTCACAATCAGTCGTAAAACTTAAGTTTTGGAATGTTCATTTAGAAAATGCAAGCTTAGTTGTAACACGTATGGAAAAATTAAAGAAACAGTGCGAGCTGTTCGAATTTGAATTTTAATAGTATCATTTTTCTTTTTAATTTACAAGAAAAGAGAAAGGTTACTTTTACTTACGCTTACACGACATTCGTACTTTCAAGATAGCGGTTAGTTCGACAGAGATTGATCGGGAATTTACACGAATCTTAACGTTTTGCTCAAAAGCATCGATCACATGTCTTCATATTCTATCTAGCAGCGCATTTCTCCACAAGTTTTCCCTCTTTAAGTAAGATCTTCTTTTAACAAAAAAAAAAAAAACAAAAAAGACTTGTCGATTCTCTAAAATCTTTTAAACTTCTCCTATATATTTTTAAACAGACTCGTTTGATTAATATTAATCTGATGATCATAATACAGGTTTCAAGAAAAGAAAGACTCGTTAATTTTCCAAAGTCTATCTCGCGTTTGTTTAAACTTCTCTTATATATTTTTCTGAATCGACTTGTTTAATTGTATCAAATATTCCCGTGAAGACGTCATCAAGATTTAGATTGTTTTACGAATTTAAGGTTGGTCTCGCATCTTTATCTTACAGCACGATTGTGGGATCATTGTTATCAGCTTCGGGAAAATCCGAATGGGATTTTTTGCGTGCGATGAATTATCTTTATTACGTCGTACGTATTCAACGAATCGTGTTTACCATCTTTCGCAAATCCTGGATCTCTTGTTCTAGTCATTGTCAGCTTAAATGTTATACATTTGATTTATTAGAGTATAAACGTTGTGCTGATTGCCTTTATCGTGTGCCACCTGTTCCAGATGATTACGAATCAATCTTTGTCTGTTATTACGTAATGAGAGATATTTCTTTCAAATGGCATTGGAATTGAGATTTATCATATTCAATTTCACAATTCGAAACTTCTTATAAAAATCTACGATCTAGTTATACATGTAATATCATGTCTTCTGAAAGGAAATTATCTTCCTCGAGCTCATCATCATATTTAGGTTAATTATACTCGGGTTAATTAAGATCATAACTGTATCAATATCAATAAAAAATTGTCGACAACGCAAAAGAAGACTATATAACGATCTACTTGATCTTATTTTAAGTCGTGAAGCCTTCATTTTGACCGAAAAGCCCGTTTTTCTCGATAATGACTTCAAAAATCGAACATGTATAAAAACATTAAAAAGATTTTTTTGTAACTAGATCCATCGTCATTTCGAAGATTAAAGATCTTTACAACGATCCCTTGAAACTCACTACACGATTTTTTTTTTCATTATTTTATTATTGAACAAACGTCAGTCTGAAGAAACTGTCTAATAAAATGGTGGAGAAAATCGCACGGTAGATTTTAAGGAATCGTTCGCACAGAGGAAATTTCAATCTTCAAGACCACGGTAAATTTACTCGTCGAAAAGGAAAGCTTTTTAACATTTTCCACGGGCAACATTTTCGAATTTTTACGATTTTCGAGGAAAAAGAAACTATCCTCACTTTTCCATCATCTATATGATGCCAACAATAGAAGTTTCGTGCTTTCTTTTCATTCAGCGTCATTGTTACGCTCTTCGGTGTTCTTTTCACCGAAAACGCCGTACACCCGATTAGAATCTATCCTTTACATCCGAAAGATATATAAGATATAAATTTCATCGCCAGCCACGCCTTTGAAAACCACGTTTGTGCAACGAAACGAGAGGGAAAAAATTCGAGCGTCGAAGGCTCGTGCCGGTTTTATCTGGCAATATCGGACGTTGGTAAATGCAAGCTGCTTCATAGCTGGCCAACGTTCGCCATTCAAGAGGGAAATCGTGCTTCGGGTTCGTAGTACCGTGTACAATTAGGAGAACGACACGGTGATACCGATCTTTTTCGAGTAAATCCGGTTCTTTAACTGCACAGCGTGGTTGCGCTTGCGTTTTCTCATCGAGCACGGTATTCTTTCGCGTCGTTAAACTCACGGGAATTTGTAACGTTGACAAATTGAAACGCCACCATTTTAGAAAACTATCTTAAACAATTAACTTTCGTTCGCCATTTGATTTTCCCTTGAGTCGAAATAAGAAAAAAAAAAAAAAAAAAAAAA